GTCCCTTTGCCTAAAATACCCCCAAATCTTTATGAGGCTTTCTCTCAGACTCTTAATTATAAGCACAATAAACCTCTGATGCACACTGTTTTATGAGGTACTTTACTGCTGATGGAACCGAATCAGCAACCAGGTTTAAATAGTGAACAAATGCATCACATGAAAACAGATTTATCTGTGGTGAAGTATTAGAGACAAAAGAGTAAAGGCAGTGCATTACTTTGCTTTACGAAGGTCCATCACTGTTAGACGGAGGTGGGATCTAAATCTCATTCATTTTTGTCATCAACAATTTTTATTTATTTCATTTTAAACTTCAATAACAGAACTTAAGGATAACTACACAAATAAATAGCTTAAAAAACAAACAACAACAAAACAAAACAAAAACCAAAACAAAGGAAAGTTATCCTATTCTTTCTTCACACACCAATCCCCACACCACCACTCTGTCATTACTCTTCTGTTCTTCAAGTTACAGAAAGCCAGCTTGTAAAGGACCAAATACAATCATATTGATGCAATTTGTCTAATAAGCCATAAGTCACTTTTTCGTAAGACGCCAACTTAGCCATTGTCTTTAGCCACTCTTCATAGGGAGGGGGGTTCTCTAAATCTCATTCATAACCAAATATCGGTCCAGGTTATTATTTCCACATGAAAAAAAGAAAGCCTTAAAGTTATATTAATATAAAATGAAACTGTGCCATTTTCAGTATTAACATCCCAGCGTGTGCAGTTTAAAGTCTCAGAGAGAAGGTCGTCTGTTCAGGGAAAGTTGACGTTCAGTTGTTTCTTGGTTGTAGCTGGTTTTTAAATTGGTTTTAGTCGTGTTTGTGACACGTGTCTAACATTAATTTTAAGTTCGATTTTGTTTTTTACTCCATTTAACCAGTAAATAAGAAACCAAAGGACAGACCCACAAAAACCTGAGAACAATGAAGAGATGTAATACCTCACATTCAGGGTTTTTTTAAACATTAAGGTGTTTGTCTAGACTTTTCTGCACAAACCTGAGCTTGGAGCGAATAATATTTTATGAACAAAATCATTTTGTTCTTGGAAAGCGGTTTTGTTTTTTTATCATGCTAATGTGCATTTGCATTGTCGGGTTTCACTGAATGAAGACGGATTTTATATGCAGGCAAAACGGAGTGATTCTCATTTCCCGCTTGACTTGTTACGTGAGATGGGAGATTGGGGTTGAGGGACAAGACTGAAAGTTATTTGACATGCACATGGTTGGTTGTTTTCATATGTTAATGCGGCCTGCCTGGCTCACATTCTCTCCCTCCCGCTGTAATTATGCTGGGGGTAAACGTGTCGCTGTCTGTCAGCCTGTTCCCCATCCTTCCTCCCTGTCAGGCCTACCCTTCATATTTCCACTCCTCTTATTTCTTTCTTCTTCCCATTTTTATTTAGTTTCCGCTCTGTCAACATCAGCCAGCAGCAAAGCTCCAGAGTCTTTCTGCCTCCTCGGTGCCGCTCCGATATCGTCTGCTTCCAGCCGCTGGTGTCGCACATCGAGCGCTCTGACAGCAGACACAAACATTCACAGCAACACTTTGCATTCATGTCACTTACATGCCAGTCAACCATGTCACTGACTTTGAAACAGACTGAAAATGCTGTAAACCTCAGCTTTTTGAGGAGTGGAAGTAACTGCTGACTTAACAAACTGCATCCAATTAGGATGTGCTTCACTGCTTAATGCGAACATAAAGGACATAGTATGGCAGGGGGACCCTGTGGGAGTGCAACGACTAAACCCTGCAGTTGTTTTTAATTGGTTATGTGATAGTGTCAGAGCCACACACTGAAAAACAGGAATGCGCCTAAAAGAGTAAAAATAGGCCTCGAGGCTCATGCTTTACACGAGCATGGCCCAGGTACTAGGGGTGGGGGAAAAAAT